TACAAAATTTTTGCTTCAATATTAGCAGAAAGACTTAAAAAATATTTAAATAACTTTATTCATTCTGATCAAAATGGATTCCTGCCAAAGAGACAAATTAAATATAATATGAGAGTAATTTTGGATACCTTGGAATACTATGAGGCACATCCTGAAAAACAAATGGCTTTGATATTTCTAGATGCACAAAAGGCATTTGATAATGTGAATTGGCGATTCATGTTATTATTGTTGGAACAGAAGGGTTTTGCCAGAAAATTTATTCAAGCAATAGAAGCTATATACTACAAGCAAACGGCAAAGGTAATGATAGAGGGAGAACTGACAGACTCTATTAACATAAGAAAAGGAACAAGACAAGGGTGCCCACTATCACCTTTGCTATTTGCATTAACTTTGGAAGTGTTAAACAGAAATATTAGAGATGAAAAGAGTATAAAAGGAATGAAAATTAAAAAGGAAGAATTTAAACTGCAAGCCTTTGCGGATGATTTGGTTTTTATCTTAGAAGACCCTTTAGAAACAGCACCAAAATTATTGGTAAAGATAGAGGGATATGGCAAGGTGGCTGGTTTGAAAATAAACAAAGATAAGACAAAGATTTTGACAAAGAATATGTTATCAAGACAAAAGGAAGCATTGGCATATCTACTGAAAATTCAGGTCACAAATAAGATCAAGCATTTGGGGATACATTTGACAGCAAGATGTAATACATTAAAAGAGAATAATTATATTAAACTTAAACAGCAGATAGCGCTAGACTTGGCGAAATGGGAAAATTTACAACTGTCACTAATAGGGAGAATCTCAACAATCAAGATGAATATATTACCCAGAATTTTATATTTGTTTCAAACAATTCCAATTAGGCTTGGAAAAGACTGTTTTGAAGATTTAAATAAAATTGTCTTGAAATATATATGGCAAGGTAAGAAAGCAAGAATAAAGTTAAAACTTTTGCAAGATGCTAGAATTAGGGGAGGATTTGGTTTGCCTAATTGGGAGTTGTACTACCAAGCTACAAATTTGATGTGGGTCAAGGAATGGATAACATTAAGAAAAACTAGATTGTTGACATTAGAAGGACATGATTTGTTGTTGGGGTGGCATGCTTTTTTATGGTACAAGGGAACTAAAATACAGGGGTATTTTAGAAGACATCATATACGGGAATCTTTGTGGTCAAATTGGGAGATGATTAAAAGACAATGTTATTTGAAAATTCCAGTCTGGTTATCGACTATTGAAGCATTTTCCTATCCTATAATATACAAGAAGGAACAAACAGTTAGATATGGGGAAATACTGAATGAAAAGGGTGAACTTAAATCTATGCAAAAACTAGAGAAACAAGGTATAAAGATGAATTGGTTTCCATATGCGCAAATACATGCAAGGTATAAAGATTTTAAAACAGAAGATTTCTATGATAAATTGACTGATCTAGATAAGATTTTGACAGGTACTGATGAAAAGGTGATTAAAAAACTGTATGGATATTTATTAGAAACTAAATTAGAAGAACAAGAAGTTAAAGAAACACTTGCGGCTTGTTGGCTTCGGTGACAGCAGAGATTCGCTTTCTCTGCGATCCCTGCTGTGCTAGCCGCCTTGGTGCCTCCGATCCTGACGGATTTGGAGGCTAAGGCTGCCCTGTTGGGGCAGCTGAAGAAAGGGGGGATCCGGACAGGGGTTGAGGGGTATCACAACCCCCCCCCAGCCGGCAATAACCCCCTTCTCTCAAGACGGTGGAGCGGCAGTCTTTATGGCCGCCATAAAGAAGCCGGCAACTGGATAAAGAATGTGCAGGAGGAAGAAGGAGTTTTAAAACAAAGGTTTTTCTTGGTCGAACTGGGACCTTAAGGACATATCTAACACCTGGGAAAGTATTGGCTTGGACGCTACAATGTTCCCGATTGATGTTTTCAGCTGCGAAGAAAAGTGACGAAAAGGGGAAGTTACTCTCCCTCCCTTATGGAATTAACAAATGGACAAGGGAAACCAGCCTTTTAATAGAAGGTAAAACCTAAACTCCTTTGTTATAAGTGGGAAGGAAGAGGCTTGGAAAAAAAAAATTTACTCTAAGACTTTGCTGGAGGAGATGCCGTGAAGATAAAGAGAATAGAAATTAATTCTAAAAAAGATTTAAAGCACAGACTGGACGTTTTTTCTTTCCCTAATTTGACTTCACCCCTAGAAGAAAAATTGTAAAAAGAAGTTTGTACTCTACCTGGACTGTTTGATGATTGCGGGATTTTGGGACTTTTGGGAACTGTTTTAAGTTTGGAAATAACTGATTGGCTTAATAATAAGAAGAGGATACAGAAAAAGAAGAAGAAACAGTTCAAAATGGCTCTATCTCTTGATGAACTAAAAAAACAATATTTAAAAATAAGGAAAGAAGGCAAAGATGTTATGGGAGAAGCCCTTTGTTTCCTAGATATGGCGCTTGTCATGTGTCAGCAAATTAAACAACAGCTGGAAGAAGCCGAGGAAGAAGCCATTTTTAATGAACTAAATGGTGTGACTAAGAAAGAAATGAGAAAGAGAGGAGCGAAAAGGAAGGACTTAAGAAATAAAAAAATATTTATGAAAGAGAAAAAGAAGATGCAAAAACAACAGACTGCTAGAAAGCAAAAGGAAAGAGGAATGCAACAGAAAGGGGAAACCAAGAAGGCAGAGGTTTGGAGAGGAGGGGGTAAAAAGTTTAGGCGGGCTAAGAAGGAAAGGGAAAAGGGGGAAAAAAGTTACAAAGGTGTAAAACAAGATGGAGAAATTTTTTTTTAGGGATAATGGGTAATGTATGGTTTTTTTTTAAAAAAAAAGGATTCTGCAAAGTACACATGAGTATTGTAATAGTGGTATTTGTATTATAAGTAGATAATCAGAACTTTTTAAGATCTAATAAAAGACTAAAATATTAAGGTATAACTTTAAAATGTTTAATAATGAATGATATTAAGTTTTAATAAAATACTAAAGGGAATGTTTAAAATATTAGTTTAAATATAGAGTTAAATGGATTAATGTGTTGACTGTTATGGATTTATTATTGTAGTATTGTAGTATTTTTATGTTTTTGTTTGTTTGTTTGTTAAAAAACCAATAAAATTGTTTTCAAAAAAAAAAAAAGAATTAAGATGAGGCAAAAGTGGAGAGGAGTTATATAATAGATATAGAATAGTAAATAAGATAGGTAATGGTATATAAGAGCATGAATTCAATTGAAGTCCATACAAAAAGAGGTATTCTGGGGCCAAGTTACTTTCTAAAAGAAAGTTTTATGTTTTTATATTTATGTCTTGTGTGTGTGTGTGTTCAATTAAGAATTAAATAATAAAATCTCGGAGGAAGACTAGATGAGAATAATAATAAACAAGCCAGAGGAAAATATGTGATGATTGAATAGCAGATAAATTAGAAAGGAAATATGATTGAATAATGATTAAAGAGAAACAATGTGGAATTTGGTAAAGGGAATTTACGTGTTTATATGGAAATGGGATAAATTATAAGTACGTGATATAAAACAATATGTTACCTGCCTTGTAAAGATTTACAGTGGAAAGAGGTTTTATGTTTTTAACGTTTAATGATGTTTTGTTTTGTTTGTTTGTAAAATCAATAAAACTTATTTAAAAAAAAAAGTTAAAGAAACTATGATTGCTTGGGGGAAGAACTTTGGATATGGGATTGATTTAGAGAAATGGCAAAAATTGTGGTCTCAAAATTATAAAATGACAATGTCAACAGCTTATAAAGAAAATTTGTATAAGTTGTTTTACAGGTGGCATTTCCCCCGACAAGAATAGCAAGAATGTTCAAGAATAAATCTGAAAAATGTTGGAAATGTCATCAGACACCTGGCTCATATTACCATATGTGGTGGACTTGTGCGGACGCTAGAAAATACTGGACTAAAATCCACATGTGGTTGGAAAAAAAGTGACAAAAAAACCATATAGATCTGAAACCAGAGATATTTTTATTGGGAATTTTACCTGATACATATAGCAAAGATTTGAAATACTTGATTGTAAATGTATTAACAGAGGCTAGGATTGTATTTGCTAAAAACTGGAAAAATGACAAAATACCATCGCAGGAGGAAATCATTAAGAAAATATTGGAATGTGCTAAAATGAGTAGACTGACATTTGAAATTAGAGAACAAGAGGATAAACAATTTCATAAAATTTGGGACCTTTTCTATCAATGGTTAGATAATAAAATACAGTAATGAAATATGTAGATTTTTAGAAAATAATAAATATATAAAGATGTACTTCTTTTTTTATTATATCTACAAAATGCTTTTAGGATAGATTTGGGAGGATAATGTGAACTGTTATAAAATAAACTAAGTAAACTATGGTTATCTCGTAAAATATGAATGAATAAAACTATAGTCAAATGATTGATTAATGATACTAGGGTATTCAATTTTTGATTGATGATATGAGCTATTATGCAATGTAACTGTAACTGAAGATTACAAAATGGATGCACAAAATAATTTGTAAACCAACCGGCAGACTGCTTATATACTTATGGAAGAAAGTTTAATGTTTTTATGTTTTGTTTGTTTATGTTTCTTTTTAAAAACCAATACAACTTACCAAAAGAAAAAAGATCAATAGTGCAAGATCTCAGGCTACTAATCTGGTGTGATCTCGCACGGCAGTACTTTAGGCCTGTGTTCTTTTAAGAACTGAGGACTTCATGAGATCCAGGTAAAAAGTCTTTGAAAACAAAGAGGGGACTGGGTCTCAAATACTGGAGGAGGGCTGGTCATAACTTGGACAATCGCTAAGTGAACTGTCATAACTTGGGGATTACTTGTATCCTAGGATGCTCTGAGTCACACTGCATGAGGCCTTTGTTTTTGAATTGGATTGGGAGAATGTTCTTCCATGGGCTGACCGTGAAAGTTCTGTTCTCACACAATTTAGGGAAGTTCCATAAGACAAATGACAACACACTCCTTTCACACGACCTCCAGAGGACACATAAAAGCACACCTCGTTCTTTTCAGCCTCCATAGAGAAGTTCAAATAGAAATGGAAAAATACAGATAAGAAATGGCAGAGAAAGAATCCAAGCAAAGAGACATTGACTCTTTCCTTCCATGGAGCACAATAAAGCCAGATCCTTTCCTTCTCCCTCCCAGGAGACAATATCTGATTATTGGTTTTTTAATAAAAAACTAACTATAATCTCTCTTCTTGAACTCTTTGGTTAGGGACTAGAAAACTCTTACCCAGAGAGACCACGTTCCTATGGTTTTCAAGCATGACTTCTGAATGCAGCGCTTTCTGGTCAGGATCCAGCTGAGACCATTCCTCCTCAGAGAAATACACAGCCACCTCCTCAAAGGACACAAGACCCTCCTGGATGTGGAAAAAAGAACACAACAGGAGGATTCGCAAGATCTGTTCATCTTCATCATTGATTTAGACAAGAGGATAGAAGGGGAACTCATCAAATTTGCAGACAAGACCAAGTTGACAGGAATACCAACACTGTCTAGAAGATAACCTCGAGATACAGAAGGATCGACAGATTGGGCCTGAGAAATATAAGGTTCTATATTTAGGAAAGAAAAAAACAAATGCACTTGCATAGGATAGGTGATACCTGGCTACACAATAGTCAGTGCAACATGGATCTTGGAGTCCTAGTGGACAACCACTGAAACATGAGTCAGCAATGTTTCAGTTGCCCCCCCAAAACCCAACACAATCATAGGCTGCATTAAGAGGGATAGAATCAAGATGACATGAAGTGTCAGCCTTCAAGATTTTCTCCCTTTACTTTGCATCTTTCAGCTGTCATAAGTAATGAGGAGGGGGGGGATTTGGTTTTGGGAAGTGAGCTGGAGGTGTTACAAAACAGAATTGTATTAGCTGGGGGGATAGATTCTTGCTTAGGCTTCCATCTTATGCTATGCGCAGCTGCAACTCTTTATCAAAATTTGTCAAGGTGAACAGAGGCCTCATCACCACCTGGAGATGACCACATGATGATATAAACAACTTTTAATTGGATGGGAACGTTGCCATTACTTTGTATATGTGATTTACGCGCCCATTTTCTCAGATTCAGAATTCTTTTGTTGCTACCGCTTGATTTTCAGTAAAGATATATTTTATCTGATTAATGGAGTCT